GCAAACAACAATTTTAGATCTTATTTAATTTCATTATTTCAGATATTATTAAAATTATTTTTAAAAGTCAACTAATTTTCCTTTTCAAGAGTTAATAAATTTTATATTATCATATTTTATAATAATTTTTGTGCAAAAAAATGTGTAAGAAATCTGAAATTTAAAATTATGTGTAACCATTTTTGTAAAAAAAAATACTAAAAATTGGAGGGTTCTGACCATCCCCCATACTACGCCGGCACTGTATGCATTTTAGTATTGTTTTCATTTTGTCTTATTATTATACGTACCATGCCGAACATGGATCAACTTTATGAAATCTATTTTTGAGAGAAATAACTAATTCTCACACAACTTGTGAAATAAATAAATCAAAACTTCAACTTGGCACGCAAATTCCCAATTTGTTTGAACAACTTCCTTTCGTCGCCCGTGTTTCCGTATGTTTATCGTCAATGACTCAATGTTATGTTAATCAACGTCAAACCCTCGTAGCTCAAGGTTATGTGTAAAGTCTATCTTGTCGATTATTTAGGTCCAACTCGACAGGTTTATCAGAAATTTTAATTTTATAACAACACACTAACGTAATTGTAGCGTATGCATCATAATCTTTCCGGTGAGATGTATCGGAACTTTCTTTTTACAGCATATTTGTACATCATGCTGATGCATCTTCACTATTTACGTGATGTACCGAAATATGTTGGGATTTTTTGGTCATATATGCATTTAATCAATTTATCAATACAATTCTTCTTTGGAAATATAATAGTGTTTCTTGGTAAGCAATAGCAAGAGTAGTTATGAAATGGCAGTATTTTTGGTAACCCTTCCGGTTTACTCTCTTCACATTTTTTTGGGTTAAATTACCCTCTTCACTTCATAAACTTTGTAATACATTGTATTTTATTGTTGTTCATATGTAACAACAAAATATCACAGCTACCGCATACACATTCAGATTTTATTCCATATTTTCAGAATTGCATGATCATAGCAAACCAATAATGTTTTATAAAAATTCATTTAGAAGTATCAGATATGTAGGCATAAGAACCATATTCTACATAAACAGAAAAAAGCTCTCAAACATCTAACTTTCAAGATATAGAAAATATTATATGTTTCTTTTACTATGATTTATAAATACTCTAATTTCGTATTCAGTGTATTGAAACCAAGATTACACTTTATATCAATAATACTGAACATCATTTGAAAAATAAAGCTTAGACAAAGGTTTAGTAGATGTAAACATGGAATTGGAAAGTAGTTTTAGCAGGCACTTGCTAGCAATTAACAGACACATGCATAATGAATGGTTATTTACTGCAGGATCCAATTTATTGGTGGCTAGTCACATTTCTCTTCCCTCTCTCCACAGGTTTGGAATCTCCGTGATTTTCTATTTCATGAGTGGAAAAGAACAGATCCTAGTGCCTTGAGTTGTGGATTCCAATATATTCCGTCACGTGACAAACTCCAATTAGAAAACGTCTCTGCTCTTTCATCCTTCATTTGCCTCTCCCATGTCTAGGGGTCAATTCAACTAGATCCCCCACTCTCGTGGAATCTTTTTTTCTTATTCATTTTTTCTTCTCATTCATGTTTTGAAGACTGAACTTCTCGCCATCTGAGAATTCCAATCATAACACTAATTTTAATATTAAAATTACACCAATTTTAATATTTTTGTGTCAAATATTCTTCTATCATCTTTAACCATAACACCAAATATTACATCAAAAATAATATTATATATGTATTTTATATTTTAAGTTTTGAATAAATTTATAATTTTACTATTTGTAATTTATAAATAATTATTTTATCCCCTTAATTTTTTGTTAATTTTTTTGTAACTTTATATTTATAAAATTTATTTACATATATATTTTTGGTTTAACAATATTATACTTTTATACATTTATTTTATATGAAATATTAATTATATTCAAAATTATACTACAAAACTAATAATTATGTATTAGTTATTCACTATAAGTTCTATAATATTTTATTTTTAAAAAATAAAGTAAATGATAATAGTCATTTAGTGATTTCTTACTTGAAAATATAATTTAAAATATTGTAATTATATAAAAATAACTTAAATAGATAAATAATACAATATATTTATGTTTAGTTACAAATTTAAACTAATTAATAATAACAGTTAAAATATATTATTAGATGAAACATAATAAAAAAATATATAATATTTGGTATGATGAATAGTATTACATCAAATTTACTGTAACACTATTCACCTTGCACTAAATTGGTGAGATGATATTATTTTTGGTATTTTATTCGAGTTCACTTTATAACAAGATAAACTGCAAAATGAATAAAAATATTCTGAAAGAAAGAACAAAAATCACAACCTTTGTTTATCAGCAGAAATATCTAAGAGGGACCGCATAAAAATGATTTAGTCAAGTGCATCAATAGTTGATTGATTCTTATATATATAAAGAAAAGAACAGAACTTAAAGTTGTTTATTTGTGTTTTCATTTGCATCGATGCTAATGTAGGGTTTGAACCGTAAAACTCTTCAAAACATGGACGCCTCCTACTAGTCGGCCACCAAAAACCAAGTGGAGGTTAATAATATTAATAAGTGTTCTATTTAAATTGAAAATTTAGATTTTAGAGTTGTTTTCAAATGAAATGTAAACATGTGATATCGATTAAGAAAGCTATTTTCACCTTGTAAATTCGATAGAAATAGATTGTGACAAAAAGTATTAGCATAAACTGTAGAAACAAAATTATTTTGCCATCATCACTCATCACCATGCCATTTCAGAAGCCAACTTTGACACAAATATTTAGCCATCTTTTTGAGTTAACGTAACTATATATTCAGAGCCAAAATAAACTGCTTAGAAACTTGCGACCAAATGGACATGATAGTTTTGCCAGTTTATGAGCTCACTAAGCGAATACGTATTTGGGCTTTTTCAAAATAAACATAAAACAAGGGACCCAAAACAAAATCTCTGAACTCCAAAGGCGCTTGCTTCCATTGTCTTAACTAGGCTGGGCATTTTAACTTGGACCCGAGGATCCGGTCCAGAACCGACCCGAAATCGCAGGTTTGAGTACAGGTCCGGATATATTGAAATTAACCTGTTGGATTTTTTTTAGACCCGTGGGTACATGCTCGGATCCGGATAAGACCTGCTACCCGTCGGGTATTAGTTTAACCTCCAAAAAAAACAACACTCGTGAGACTTCATGTCTTCATAAAAAACAACACGCGTGGGATCGAGATCGATCGATCCCAGAAAGAGTCGGTCGATCCCAACGGTCGATCTCGATGATTAAAAAAAAACATAAAAAAACACGGAGCAGAAACTGATCGACCTTGTCAAGTTCAGTCAATCTTCACCGATAGATCTATCATAGATCGATCGATCTCTATTTTAGATCGATCGATCCCGATCCCAGATAATAGAACTGAACCGAAAATAACCAAAAATTTGGAACCAAACCTGGAACCTTTAATACCCAAAATTTACAGGTTTTTTAATTGGTTTTCAAAATTAAGATCTGAACCGACCCGGACCCAACAAGATCCAACCTGAAACCGATCCGAAAATTATAAGAACCTGTATGGATCTAAATCTCCAAGATCCGAAGAACCTGCACCCGACAGGACCCGGTTTGAACCCGACTCGAGGATCCGGATGCCCAGGTCTAGTCCTAACAAGAAGTCATGAACTACTTTCCGTTAGAAGATAGCATTATCTTAGTAGTTTCCACGTGGCATTTTCTAGTTGGCATAAGAAAATCTTCAAGAGGAGTTCTCAGTTTGCCACGTCAGACGAAGATCAGAATCCACTCATTTTGACTAAAGGCTATCTCTTCAAACAAATTCCAAATCATCCCAACAACAGAAAATAGTGATCAAAGCTCATGGCATCTCTTGCAACCGTCGCCGCCGTGAAACCATCCGTCGCCGTAAAAGGCCTTGGCGGCAGCTCACTCGCCGGAGCCAAGCTCTCATTCAAGCCTTCCCGCCTAAGCATCAAACCCAAATCCATCCGGTAATCAAACCTCTTTACGTATCTATTTATTTAGGTTAAAATGCTACTGAAACAACACTACAGATTTGAAGTTTAGATTTCATAGTTTATATAGTCACACATGTGAAGACTAAGTGACTATACAATAGTGATGAAAATGCTAGAGAAGGATATGCAGGATTGGACCAACTGTGTGTTTGGCTAGTAATCTATCACAAGAAGTTGGTTCCAATATGCCCATAGTTCAATTTTGGTTAGGAAAAATGTTTTACGCCAAGTCATCATGTATTAGCAACGGCTAGACCCGGTTCTAGAGGTAGATTAGGATATGGCCCAAACTCCTCCAGGTTAATAAAAAATATATATACAGGATTAGCATTTTAAATTCTTGTGTAATTAACTAGCCTGAGGTTGTTCTTCATCTTTACTAGGTCTGGTGGTGTGGTGGCTAAGTATGGAGACAAAAGTGTCTACTTTGACTTAGAAGATCTGGGAAACACAACAGGTCAATGGGATCTATACGGCTCTGATGCTCCTTCTCCTTACAACCCTCTTCAGGTTTAATAAACCTCTATAAAGATTTTTTTCAATACTTAAAACAGTATTGTGAACGCTTCTATTCTTTTTTCGCTTACTTGTAGAGCAAGTTCTTTGAGACATTCGCTGCACCATTCACAAAGAGAGGTTTGCTCCTCAAGTTCTTGATTCTCGGAGGAGGATCTTTGCTCACTTATGTCAGCGCTTCCTCCACCGGTGATGTTCTTCCCATCAAGAGAGGTCCTCAGGAGAAGCCTAAGCTCGGTCCTCGCGGCAAACTCTGATTTAGATTCATGCATCTTTGTTACCTTCTTTCCCTCCTTATAATCTCATAAACATTTCTCAATACTACAAACCCTTCAAATGACTTTTGATTTTATGTTACATATATCTCTTTCCCTAATTTTACAAAATAAATATTCTTCTCAAGAGTATTGACTTGCTGCTGGACTTCTTGTGGTTCCATGAGATTCAAGATAAGAGCTACTCTTCTTGTTGTTAGCCATGATCATGGTGGATACTCTGGTCAACAGTTTCAAGCCTGAATCTATGAGTGGTGCATCGTTCTTGTCTTCCATATCCCATTGCATTACCTCAGACAGTGAGATGGGAGCCTTCTGTTTTATCGGTCTCTCCTCTAAAAGACAAAAGTCTTTTTCTTCTTCCTTCTTAGGACTCTCTGTTTCCTTCACTATATATCTCTTACAAAGCAAGCCTTCAGGGTGCTGACTTAGCTGATCAGCTTGAAGAACATCTTCTATCCTCGACAATACCGTGTGTGCCAAGCTTTCAAGAACTCTTGAATAACTCTCCATTATTGCTAACCCTATATCCTACACACAAAAAAACAGTTTGTTTAAGACAGAACATAAACAAGTTAACTCCTAAAATGTGGTTTAGTAAATGTTTTTTGATTGATTACTTTGTTGAATTGTATCTTGCTGATGTCAAGTGTGGATTGAGAGATTCCTGGGAACCTTAGTTTGATAAGAAGCAAGATGGTTTCTGCTCTTTCTTCTAACAGTTGTCTCTTCTCCATACTCAGATTAGTACTAAACGGAGATGAAGACTTGTTGTTGTCTTTCTGAACTATCTTTCTCTTCCATATCACAACCGAAGCTTCAATCTTGTCCTTAAGATCAAGAATCTTGTGCTCAGATGATAAGTCTATTTCAAGAAGGAACTTCTCTACATCAAACATGTCTAATGTTATCAGTCTATAGATCATGTCTCCAAGAGTAGTTTTCCCATTCTGTAAATACAAACAAATAAAATAAGGTATTGAACAAGGATACATAATTAAAAAAGGGCTATTAGTGATTAGGGTTTAGGGTTTATTATACCTTAGGAAGTGAGTCAATGTAACTCTCAGGGATCTCCATTTGGGACAAAACTTCAGCGTTTATGGCCATTGCTGATTTAAGCACTTGGCTAACACACTCTTTTTGATTCAGTAGAAACCTTTTCGATGTTTCGGATAAGCCTTTAGGTGGAACTTTAACTGTTGGAAGCCACCATTTTTCATTGTTCCTGGTTGAGTTACTGTTTGAATGTTCAGGAGAATCAGATGTGATGTAATAGAACTCATCCTGATCCTTGAAACTATCAAGACAATCCTGCAGAGTTTGTGACATTATACAACCTTGGACTTGTTAATGCAAATGCATGGAGAAAATTTTAAAGTATATGTGTTTACTTACAGTAAGCATCACATCGAGTTTCTTAAGAGCAGGGATGTTGGAGACAAGATCTGTTCTCTTTCTTGTAGTCATTACCTCCATGGAAGAACCATCCTTGTTTGTTTGTAGTGTTGGAGAGAACTCAACTATATGATCAGTGACAGAGAGAAGCCATCCTATTTCTCTTCTCCACCGTTCTTTTCTATCTTCTGGCATTGGCTCTAAACGTCTTAGCTCTCCAAACGCTGATGCTGAAAGATTTGTGACTGCGTTTGATAATGTAAGTGCTGATGAAACACCTTTGCCTCCTCCTGACATGTCTTCTCCTAGAAGCAGTTTCGCGAACCTTTCTTTCATCTGTTCCCTTTCTGTAACATATATAATCATATTAGTGTTAACGTACAACGCAAGAAATCTCTCACTATATTATTAGCTTGCCACCCAAGAAAACCTCAAGACAGCTCATTAACCTAATTAGTTTTGAAACAGTGAAATAGATCTTTTTTCTTGCCTGTCTCTTCTTGTAACTCTTCACCGGTTGCTTCACAAGTCTGAGGAGGTTGAAGAGGTAACATTGGTAGGACGCTTGAGGCTGAAGCTTTTTTGAAAACAGTGTCATCATCAGTTCTCAAGGCAGAACCAGAGTTCCATCTCTTGACATTCCGAGAAGATGAGTTTTTCTCCTTCATGTTCTCGAAATCGAACAATTCGAATTTGTAGCTTTCTTTTTCTTCTCTCTCAACGGCTTTCACCATTTCCATAATTTTCTTAAACCGGAGGAGAGGTTCTCTGTTTTTGAATCCTTCTGTTTTCTCCTCTTGTAACAAAGAGGAATTTTTAGGCGGGAGAGACATAAAAAGAAAAGAAAGAAAGAGTTCTTTGATGTTAGTTGTAGAGATTAAGAGAACAAACTAATGAAACCTTGTTTGATGAATCCAGAATAGTCATTTGAGATTAACTTCTCTGTTTGATGCTTTCTTTGCCTCATTAGATTACTAACTAACTAACAGACTGATTCATCATTACAGTTATATGAACAAATTTAGGATTGGAGTTTATATTTTAAGATGCTTTGTGTTTAAACCTTTTTTACTTTACTATTTATAAACTTTAAACACAAACGTAGACATTGGTGCAATGATTATGAATATGCTTGCATGCTGCGTAGTTGAATTTATAAGTATTATAATTAGCTAGTACCAAATTTAGTTTATTTTGCATGCTTTTATGATAAAATTATTTTAGTATATGTTAATCAATCTCAAAAGCCATATTGTACAGATACATGATCTCACAATTTATTGGAAAAACATTATCTAATTACAGAAAGGAAAAGAGAAAGAACCAAAAAAAAAAAACTCAGCTTCCTACACAAAAAACAAACATGGGTGTTATTAAGAAACTAAAGAGTGGCTCCTTTGAAGATGAGGAAGTTGAGGGTCCCCAAGTGAAAATAGATAAAAGTTCCTTTAGAATGTGTGAAGAAACACCCAAAATTTGATCCCACCACACATTGCCATCCACTTCCATATCTCTCATCAAACTCCTGATTTTGACCCCAAAAAAAGTTAGCTAAAGAAGAAGTAACAAGACCTGAAAAGCTATAATTAACCTTCTTGATGTGAGCAGCGATAGGTTGACAGTCAGATACATCAAAAAGATCGAGAGATTGAGAAGCAATGTTCAATGCATTCATTTGCATCTTCACTGGCATATCTGTGTCTTCCACCTTTGCTTTCCCTTCCAGCATCTTTAACTAATAAAAGTCGAAAAGATTCTGTTAATATCACAAGAGCTAATCTTTTAATGTTTTTTCGTTTATCTTCCTGAGTTTAAGTAACCGTGTTACATTAGTACCTTATTATTGCTTACGTAATCTTTTGTCTTTTCTTTTTCCCTCTCTTATTTTAACATTTTTTTTTTCTGTCAACTCTATATGTTGTTACTACTAAGAGATAATAGTAATCGTGAGAATCATAAATAGACCGGTTCTGATCCGTTCTGATTCACGATAAGAATGAAAAGAAGATCGCAGTAAGAAAAGTAAGGCGTGATGAGTCATCAGAGATGTAGTATAGACCTCTTTGACGTGTGTCCACGTCGTTTTCAGAGCTCTATTGATAGGATAACGATAGAGAGAGGCTCATATCTCAATTCATTCCCATCTGGAATGTTGTTGAAGCTGTGACTTTTAAGCTTCCGAATGATCTCTCTCATCTTCGGTTTGCAGCTAAATGGGCCGAGAAAACATACTCGGATTTTAGGCCACATGGTATCGGCTCAATAAGAGTGGAACTACGTATTTACGGGTTTAAATATAAACTAGAGTTTGATATTGATTTTTACGTTTTTATAAATTGATATTCATTTTTTATGATTAGTGTTATAGGTTTTAGATATGTCGCCGATAACTAATTGCATACAAAAGAACTGGACTGAATCAGGTAATAAGATTATTTTTATCACAAATATCTAAACTCATTTAAGATATATTGGTTATTTAGATATATATATTTTTTTTTAGATATTCTTATGTTCATATACATCAGAATCAAAATCATTCAGACCCATGAGACCCATTTCAAACCTTACACATAAATTTATAATATCCAAGCATTTCTAATTTCAAAACCCAAAAAGTTGATCTCGAAAGAAACAACTTGTATCTAAATGAATACCCGAATGTCCATATCTAACGGATTCGGTAAATAAATTAAAAAAAATCTTTTTATGTTTAGCTAAATTAAAGGAAAGAGAAAAAAAAATCATTTATTAAAATAGTTATATGAAATGAAACATTAAGGGGCAATAAATGTAAGAAATATTAATTATTTTAATTTAAATTATTATTTTGTTTACATAAACTATCCTTTGAATTATGTGTCTGGCTACATAATTTTTCACTAATTAGAACCAAGATTTTTAAAACCGGACCGATTCGTTGGTTGAACCAGGTTTGACCATGAACCGATCACGTAACCAGGTTGAATCTAACAACTGGTTCGACCATGAACCGGTCAAGTAATCGGATATATTTATCTCAACGTTATTGGATTTAATAAACAATATTAAGACTATCAAAACTCTATAAACCAACCATATGAACAAAAAAAAAGTATCAATTTTGATTATTTATCATATTTACTAACTTTAATTTTAATTTCTATATCTAAAATATATTAAACCAGATTATTGAACCAAGATTATCCGATCGAACCATATTGAACCGTGACCCAAAATTTTGGTTCAGCTTCCGGCCCGGTTTTAAAAACACTAATTAGAACTAAGATAAAAGAAAGTTTTATTAAAATAGATTAAAACAAACTCTTAACGATACGCAAAGTTCTGTTATTTTACATTTTTTATTTTTCGAATTTGTAAAAATTTAATATTTATTAACTAATAAATAAAAATCTGCAATACTACTTTAATAATATATAATTTTGATGTATTGTTAAAGGGAAATATAATTAATGATGTGAAATATAATTAATGATGTGATGTATTCTTAAGGTAATATAATTAATGAAATTATTAAAAAAATATTATATATTTTTATAGTGTTGTCCATGTTTCCAAACAATTCTCATTTTAACTACTATCCATGTTTCCAAACAACTCTCAAATGTACTTCAACTTTAATAATATAGATTTTTATTTTTCGAATTTGTAAAAATTTAATATTTATTAACTAATAAATAAAAATCTGCAATACTACTTTAATGATATATAATTTTGATGTATTGTTAAAGGGAAATATAATTAATGATGTGAAATATAATTAATGATGTGATGTATTGTTAAGGTAATATAATTAATGAAATTATTAAAAAATATTATATATTTTTATAGTGTTGTCCATGTTTCCAAACAATTCTCATTTAAACTACTATCCATGTTTCCAAACAACTCTCAAATGTACTTCAACTTTAATAATATAGATTAGTCCATCCGTTTTAGAATACTAATCATTCTGGACATAATTTTTTATCACAAATTAAGTATGTTTTTAGAGAGTTTCGAATCAAAATTTATTCGTTTTATATAATACTAGAGATTTTCCGGGCTATGTCCAGGGTATTTTCCATAAATTTAATTTTTTTTATCTTATTTTATAGTTTTGTTTTTGTATGTAGCTTTTATATTTAGGGTAACTACTTTATTTCAATTATTTGGATTTTAGTTTTATTTTATGTGATGGTTTTGGGGAATACAATTTCCGAACTATTAAAATTCAATATCAAAAAATATATATAAGCTTGTAAGCATAAGCTGTATAATGTTCTATAAAATAGTTAGAATTTAATTTTTTTTTGTAACCAATTATCAGAGAAGTCGTGATGCATTAGTAGTATATATATGCATTTAAACTCCTTCTTCATAAAGTTGAAAATAAATAATCTATTAATAACAATATTATTCTTTTTGAAGAAAATAGTTTTAAGGAGTTGAATTTTAGTTGGATCTAACGAAATTATATGATATCAGCAATGAACAATGTAATAGTTAAAAAAACTAAAAAAATTTAACAATTCATAGGTGCAGTAAGGATTTTATGATATCAGTTCCTAAATATTTAAAGAGGCGTAATTAACACATATCAGAGGGGCAAGGGTGGTTTGAAAATCATAACAATAAACAATTACCATTCATAAATGGTGAAATTATATAGATAAATTGTTTGGAAAGGGAAGGAACTCTAAAAGATGCAAACTGAAAGGAAACTAAACTGAGAAAAAATAAAAACTTAAACCGGACAGAACCATTCAATCCTTGGTAAGCATCCACTCATTTAGGGGTTTTGGTCTGCCATACGGCCATAAAGTTATAGTAAAAACTATTATATATTTATTTATTTAATTTTATGAAACATTAAATCATTATAAATTGAACAAACAAATAATAAATAGTCTGAGATTGTACTAAACATTTTTATTTTAAATTAAAAGGACACTAACCTTTATTATTCTCTATTTTGGAGAATATAAAATTAGCAAAAATAATTCAGAAAATTTGATATATATATATATATATATATATATATATATATATATATTTTTATTTCACTTCGACATAGTGAAAGAAAATCTAACATTTAAATGAATCATAGTGAATTGCATAAGTTAGTTTTGTATATCCTTAAAAGTTAGAAAACAAAGAGATATATAACTACTAATTGATTTAATTTTTCTGGTCCTTTCGTTTGTGATCCTAAAACCACCTCCAAAGGGAATTCTTCTATAGGATTCCACAAATATTTATACATATATAATACATATATATATATATATAATACATATATTAAGAATTTAAATGGGAAGAATCTCCATTGGAGGTGCTATAACGCTTGTTATATCACTAACTATTTACTATTTGTGTTATTGAAAAATACATTTCTTAAGACTGTTTGGTTTATTAGAAACATTTATGATGTATTTGTTTTGGTTGCCTTGACGACTGTATATTAACAATGTGGTGCCTTTGGTTATGTAGTTTTAGTTTATTTCCTAGTCTAAGCAATTATGATGTGTTTCCTTACAAAAAATTAATGAAACAATTATGTTTTATCAGTTTTTGGGTGTTTGAAATCTTCTTAACAATTTCTCTAGGGTTGGACATTTTATCCATAAAGTTTGAATCGACTATTTTGATTTGAAAATTCCGGATATCCGTAAATTTTCGACGCAAAGTAAAAATTAAAATTCAATATCCATTAAAAATGAAGTACATCACAATTACTAATAAATTAGAATCGGATATCTGATCCGTTCCAATTTTTATAAAAATAAGTGTATATATACAATTAAATATAGAAATTTAAATGCATAATTTATATAATTGTTATTTTAATATATAATTTAATTAATTATATTTATAAAATTACATATAAAAGTATTAACTTAAGAAGGAAGATAAAATCTTTATAAAACAATAATTTTCTTAAAATTTTATGTTTATTTAAAATTAACTAATTTTAAAAAAATTTGAGACATATAATTTCACTAATCTTTGTTATGTAAAATATATTATTGGAAACAAACTTGTATAGTTTTTTTAAAAAAAAAAATATTTATATTGAACAAAGTGGATGGAATATCCGTAATATCTATAAATTTTTCACAAATATTATCCGTAATTTTTCGAAACAAAGCAAATCGAATAATTAAATATCTAAAATACAAAGCAAACCGCAAATACTTAAAATTATGGTAGTATTCGATCCATGCCACCCCTAATTTTATCTATGAATATGTCAGCCAAGTAAAGATCTTAAGTGCACACTGGTCATAACTTTGTGAAATCCTCTTGGCAAACTTAAATAGATTTCAACTAAAGAGAATAATATACCATGTTAGTATAATATGCCTCTCTGTAAGAAGTGTCAGAAGATTAATTCAGAAACATTGTTAACTTTTCAGTTTCAGTTTGATTTTCAGTTTCCACATAAAGTCATTAGATAGAAGACAACAGCCTAACACCATAGTCTGTTTTGACACATTTTCGATAATTTAGTTAGGAGTTCGCAGAGAAAAAAAGAGTCTATTTAGTTAAAAGCTTCCTAACAAAATATCAACAAATTAATGTACTGTGTAATAAGAAACTTACTCTAACTTAACATTCTTTTTTTTTTTTTGAGTCGTTTTGTGGACCTCTAGGAGTCCCAAACCAACGTCCTCATGTTTTCTCTAACCATGTCATGTCTTCCTCTTAAAGGTTTTTTTGTGAATTTCTATTCTTCAGGTCTTTTGTGAGTGTATGTATATACAATGTTTCATTACTCATTATTAGCTCAGAAGTTGTATAAATAGTTTTTGATGAATAGTTTTAACATCTCAAATAACACATTTTAACATGCAGAGGAAGTGAGTTCTTCAATGTCTATATTGCGTTTACTTAATTTGAGCTTACATGAAGACAT